GAAGCTAATCGTCTCTCCGGTTCTGAAATGATCGGCATATAGCTCTCGGAACCGAGTTCGTATCGCATCGGTAGTGATGATCTCACTGTTTTCAAACCCAAAAGCTCTTACTTCTATGGGCCTATCATCCACGTAAACAGAAATGGTGGGCCAGTGCTGTGCAACTAGCAAACCAGTTTCCATAATAGCCAGAAGCAAGGCCGGTTGGTATACAATGGTGTTTCGGACCCAAAAATAAGCTTCGCTATCTGTGTGCGTTCCTATTCTTGGTGGAGGGTGAAACTGGAACAGAGTCATGTCATCCGCATCTTGCCACTGTGATGGGCATGTGAGATCGGTCAGCGGCCCACACTGCTCGTAAGTTGTACTCTCTGAGCCTAGACATTCTCTTGCTGGCACGTCCTTCTCCATTCTTTTCCCCGGTAGAGATTGTAGCAGACCACTAATATCGTGGTCTTGCTCATCCAGGGTTGCAGTGTTGTCCCTGACATTCTCAATAGTGCGCTCCTGTGTAGGAGATCCATCTTCAATGCTAAGGATCGTTGCAGGACCACCAGCTTTGTCATTGTCAAGACAACTCCGTCGGATTATCACTATCTCAACAAGTGACGCATCTGGCACTCGCAGTCTTTGTCTGTCCTTGAAAATAGCCCGTTCATCTGCCTCACGATTTGAAAAGACCGCAAAGACTTGGACGTCCTGTTCGGCACTTGGAAATCCAATCCATGATGGTACTTGTCTTATCTCGATGTCCCTAGGTAGCCTAGCAGCTCGTCGTGCCAAGAAGGTGCGCCCAGTCCCTAGGCCTGGATCGCTAGATTCCCAGACCTCGAAGAGATGCACAACGTGATCCAGGGACAAATGTTGGTTCTCGACCGCAATGACATGGATCTTCTTGTTGTCCGAATGGCTAATTCCAGAAGGCTGCGGCTCAACAGCCGCCAGCTTGGGAGTCTTGTAGTCTTCTGCTACTTTCCAGTAACTGCGGAACTCTCTGGCCCAATTCGCTTCACGAAGTGGTAAATAGTCGCAGTGCAACGCTACCATCTCATGCGGGTTTATCCTCCAGACCGCCAATACAATTTGAACCTCGTCAGTATAAAACGGCAGGTTCTTGATCCATTTCATTAGCTCGTCGCGCTTGACGAAATTCTGCATGGCAAAGTTTGCAACCTCATGAAAGGTCTTTCCATGCTCAACTGCATAGGCAAAACGTGCACTGGCTATAGTCTCCCTTTGGTAACTTGTGATCTGCATCAAATTGCTAAAATCCATCTCCAGGGTTGCAGTGTTACCCCTGTAATCTTGCTGGTTATGGACTGTTTGCAATATAATGCATACGTTACCATGTCGTCCGCCTTGAAAAGCGACCACGTCCCCTCTTCTCCAGCTACTGTATGTGTCCTTCTCCAAAGCTTTCCTGACAGTGTGCCACTTTCTCAAAGCACATGCGCAAAAATCAACTCTGGTTCTCAGTGTTTGCCGGAGGAGGACAGCAGTCGCTCCACTTGTTTCGAAAGTGATGAAATGAAAGGCATAGCCAAAAGTATGTTGGTCAGGCTGTGGTCTGACAGACTCAAAAGAGCAGGCCTCATCAGAGACAAAATCGTCCCATATCTTACAAACCGCGGCTCGTATGTCACCTAATTGGTCAGGATGGAGAACTGTGTCTCGTGCGATTTCATTGCAGCCTTCTTGCGGTGCATACCAAACCTTAGCTGGAAGCGGGACTCTTTCAAAAATGGCCTTTCCTAGCTCCTTGTTGACTGGAGTCTGTAAAGACTGTTTGACATCACTATGGTCTTGTGCCTGTATGTCTACAAAAATTGCCCAAAAATGCTTGCCCATGGTCAACGTGTTCGACACGGCTTCCGATTGTCGGATGCACATTGCCTACGACGGACAGCGGGCAGTGACCTTCTATGTCCCATGACTGGACTGGCTGATAGCACCTACCCTCACAAGGTCGAGAAGGGGAGGTGTTGTCTGATTGTAGGAAGCCTATGGCCTCTGGTAGGGCCTGCATTCCTCGTTCACAAGCTTCCGATAAGAGACTGTCATAGTCTTGAACTCTCGTGACGTTATGCGGGTGTATCCCGCTCCTATCGTATTTATCTGGACAGGCTCCATTCGAAGTGCTTGGCATCCCTGTGCAAGCAGGGCCAGGCGAGCTTGGCTCTGCACTGCTAGAGATTCGACTCTCTCTTTGGTATATACTCTCTAGCCTCTCTTGTCGGCAGGGAGAAGTGTTGTCTACTGTGACATGCACATGCCTTTTGTCATGCGAACCTGCCTGACCCTGCATCATTACTATACCATCGTCAATGTCAGGCACAGTTTGTCTTACATCGTCAGTCCTTTCAAGTTCTCTGTCTTGATGGTTTGGTTGGCTTGGAATCTTGTTAATCCCTTCACAAGCATGTGCACTTATGATATTGAGGCATAGGAAAACCCCTATCCAGGAAAACCCTTTGCCACATCGTCCACGGATTGGCTGTCTAGCCTGTCCGGCTCTATTGGACACGCCGATGCAATCCTTTCGTGTCCGTATACATGACCTAAAACAGGCCGCGACCCAAACCAACAAGCAGCAAAGGATCGCAACATTGAGAAGGCCCTTCCAAGGTGAATTCTCAGGGTCGCTTGTCAAACGGAAGATGTTCCTGACTGTGGCGGACTCTAAAAGACTGGCACAGACGGACATACATGCATGCTCCCGAAGCTGGGCTCTTCTGCTGAAACATTTGAGACTGCTGTCCATGGCAAGTCGTTTGATCTGCTTCAACAGGCGAAAATGCAGAACCAAACAGACTACAAGGAGAAAACTGCCACAGAATTCCAATAGCTTAGTGTACTGGCTCACAACAGAAAGAGAGGTTTGCACTTGCCCCAAACAACTGCTATTCTCAACTTCCTGATCCGATAGGTACAAACCAACAAGACCGCCAGTATTCATCTCGAAGCTAGCTCGCTCGCTATTGTACCTAAGAGATGGAAAACAAATACTGCTACTATCATCAAGGAAAGAAAGGCCGATGGCTGCTTTAAAATGGCAAGCACCTGTTCCAGTCTGTCTCTCATTGGTGATTGAAAAGTCCGGCATATCGAAAGGAAAAGTACCCGTCCGCTTTTCAAAAATGGCGCCAGGATTTCTTTCTCTTTCTGATTTCTGTGGCCAACGTCTTCCACCAAACTGGAGACTCATTGGCCATGATCTGCTCTTTCGTATTTCACACACGTCCCAAACAACTGCCTCCTTAGGCACTGCAGAGACGAAAAACTTCTTGCCACAAGATCTGTCACCTGTCAGCCAATTCACACGGGCGCCAGTGTATCCAGAATTGCAGCATTGCTCCATGGCTTTGCAAGAAACAAGTGGGCTGCCATTACCAGCTAGCCCAACTTGTTCAATTCCTGTGAGTCCGGCGGCTCGGACCTCCTGGGACTCCTCTCTCTCTCGTCGTCGAGCTTGTACGTCGGGACCTGATTGGCAAAAGCAGGTCCGGTTCTCTCGACCATTGCCATTCTCTGCTTCCTGAGATCTGAAGGACTTGCCGTTAACCTTGCTTCTGAGGGCATTGGCCCATGTGCACCTTGTCCAACATAGGCATTGAACTGCGTCTGTAGGAGTGCCAGCATCCTTGCCGTATTGGACTGTTCTCTCTGTGCTAAAGCCAGCTGCTCCCTGAGCTCTTGATTGGTCGCTGCGTCCATGTCCATACCTTCGGCCTCTTTTATCTCTCGAGTGACAGCTTCCGTATCGAGCTCGTCTATCTTGTCCGTGGCCTTCTGAATCTCTGCCTCGATGTCGCTCATCTCCTTCTTGTATTTCTCCTGTTCGGAGTCGTGATGCTTTTTGAGCTCCTCTTTGTAGAGATTCCATGCCCTTGTCTTCTCTACTCTGGCTTTTTTCAGCCTGGAGATCTTTTCGATCAGCTTTTTCCTCAAGTTGAGGTCTTTCTGCTGACTCCTCAATTCCTGCTTGTCCTCTTCTTCTCCCACGATTTGTTGCACCACCTTGAGAAGACCTCCACCTGCATCTTCGCTGCCAGTAGTGGTCTTCATGGCCTCTTTCAAGGCCGTCTTCATGCCCTCCACAGATGGTTGCGATGAAGATGAGGATCGCAAAGCATCGTATCCTGGGAAGAGCGACTTGTCTTCTTCTTTTCCCTTCTTCTCGCTTTTTCTCTTGGGGGGTGTCCCCCAGATGTTCCAAGAGCGGCCTTTGCTCTTGCCTTTGCCGGCAGCTTTGCCGCTCCATTGCCACTTCCATGACATTCTAGTTGCCAGCGCGATGGATCTCTGTGTAGTCCAAGTATGGTGCCAGCGTAACGAATTGTATGCTTTGGCAAACCTCCAGGAAGTAAAATCCCCCGATCGAATTGCCAAAACCAGCTGCTTCCTATTTCTGGCCCTGACCTTTCTCAACCGCCTGTGCCAGTTGGGTGATCTGGGCCACTTCGCCGTCCCAGCGATATACCAGTCCTCAACCTAGAAAGTTGCAGCAGCTAAGGCCTCTCTATGGCGAGCTAGGCACCGTGGAAAAGCGCACCGACGAACCGTATTCGGTTCTGGGGCTCAAAGCTAAAAAGTCTCGAGCCCTGGGTTCGGATAAACCCAAATTCCAAAGAAACAAATTAGGGACCCTAAGAATCCGGACCCTCAAACACATAGGGTTTTGAGGGCCCGGACCCCTGCTATGGAGGGCCCAAGGATTCTTAGGGGAATGAGAATAATACCAACCGACTCTGTGAAAAAGGATCTACCCAAACGCTCCGTTCACAGCCCGAACGATCCCTCAAAACCGGATTTGAGACTCCAGACGAGGCTCCGACCCCTCCAGAGGATTCGGGGCCGAACGGGTCGCATCTGGGTAAATGAAATCAAACAACAACTGCTTATTGGCACGGATTCCGTGCTCCCGACCGCTCCCTTGATCCGCACCCGGGGAACCGCGGAACCGCTTCCGCGGCGATCGCCGAGAAAACTCGAGGAAGCACCTTGCCCTTTCTCAGGACCAAGGTGTCCAAGAGTGGATCCAGGTCCTTGGACGTTGGGCCGATCCACCCCATCCTTCAACGTCGCGAAAAAGCGCAGTAGGCGAAGCGAAGTAGGCGAAGTATAGCATCCCAACCAAACGTCATGACCCCGGGTGAAATCGAAATTCAAGGAGCCTTGTGCCAAAAAACAAGGTTAGTTATATATGTGCATGTTATGTGCATAACATCAATATCTTCCCTCTGCGAGCAAAAACATTTAGATTGCACAAGCAGTCGCAAACAAAGTTTGCAAAGCATGCACTACTTAGATCGCTCGGCTTTTGGCAAAACATGACTGAAATTCTGACCAGATCAACTTTGAGATCCCCTGACCAACACCTTGAAACCTCCTTCTTGAATATCTCTCTGCGAGACCTTCTGCGATTCTGGTGATTCTGTCCTGCTAAGACCTCCATTTCAAGATCGCTTGGCAAGATATCTTTGTAGGGACTCCGAGAAGAGTGTCAAGCAAAGCCTTAGATATCCAAATTCTGTTGCATTCGGGTTCGTGGGCTTCCTTCTTTTCAGGTACACAGCTTGATTTGAAGCCAAACGGCATGTGAGGAATGATCACTCAGTGACTCAGTGGTTGAACTGCTTTGCTACCATATTAGTTCTACTCGTTTCCACAGCGTACCTTATATCCAAACAAGGGAAATGAGCTGACCATGAATCCCACAGTTTTGCTTGGGGATCTGTTCATCTCCATTATAGGGTTTTCTCCATATTCCTAGGTGACCGGAATCTCAGCTGTCCCCAACGATCTCTCAACTGTCAGGACTGCCAAGAAGTGGGAGATAGGACCAGCATTTGAACCAAGGGCCAGGTGACTTCGCTGTCGACTCTTCCCGCCCCGCGCGGGTCGGCGACCCGCGGATCACGCGTTCGTGTTGAGGCACATCCGCGGAGTGAAAGTTACCCATCCAGGGAGCCCACTCGCGAAGCAGCGAAGGATTAAACCGGGTTTCATGAGCCGTGGGTTTCTGCGAAACCTGCCTTTGTGCTACAAAAAGGTGTTGCATGGTATAGATATTATGTTCACAGAAAAGAAGCTCCAGGTCCACTTGGCTGTTGAAACAAAGAAGACGTTCATCGTCAAGACCTTTGGATTTCCTTCCTTGGCTTATTTGAAGATCGATATCTAGTGCTTCATGTCACAAGTGTGCTGCTCTTGTCTATGATGTGTTTCCCATGCTTCTTTGCCCACCTGGATGGTGAGACTTGATTCTGTCAGTGTTCTTACAAGGCATCAAGTGTCATCACATGTCAAACTCCATCAGAGAGGCATGTTGAAGGTGTCGAAGGTGGAACACAATTTTTCTCTCTAACATCTGGGTAAGTTGAGCGCTGTTCTGCCACATGAGCATGGATATGCCTCATCTTCCTACTTTCTGATCAACAGAAGCGAGAGGACGCTTGACAGTGCGTGCAGCGGAAGGTGTTCTTCAACAGAGGGACATAGGGTCTCTCCCAAAATATGTCTTTGCCGTGAACAAACCAGCAAACATCATTCCCAAGACACTCCATGAGACTGCCATCTATGCCGCCCCATTGACCCCCAGTCAACCACCCCTGGCTTGATCATCGGCAGTCCGGACTGGCAGTCCCGTCGACGTGTCGTGGACCTGGGTTTACAGTCGGCCCTTGAACATCGTTTGAGCGGGCTGGAGCAGCCTGCATGTCAGCATGTCATGAACCAGCCTCAGATTTCGCAGATCTGCACCCGCAAACGGGGTTCCAGCTCAAGGCTCCGCTCCAGCTCGGTGCCCCCAAAACGCACGCAAATCAGGCCACCAAGTGCTAAGACCGAAGGGGGGGACTGCAGGGGGACACCAAGACACCCAGCTCGGCGCTTGGGTGGAGGACGTGACGAGTCATAGGCCCAGCTTGCTCGTTGTGTTCACCAAGTCCCAACCAGTGGTTGGAACCCAGTCTGGCTGGCGCCTGCTTGAGATCCTGGAAACATCTAGAAACGCACAAAATGGCTGGGACTGGGGAAATATCTATTTCGTTCATTTTCTTTCCGGTTGTTTGGGTTTCCAGATGTTCGAGTATTGAAAGGTGATTGAAACGATGAGGGACCCGGGGATGTCCTCACTTCTGCACCTTCGCTTCTCTAGCTGAGGATGTCCTTGCTTCGAGTCCAAATCCTCTTGGAAAGGTCTCAAGCAGTTGAGTCAGGTGACTTTGGGACCCCTGTGGGACCCCTGTACTCTGACGATGATCCTCAAAACTGCCAGTTCGCTGCCAATTCCGCCACCCGGCCTCTGGCAAAGGCTTTGGCCGAGGTTCGTCTGAATGCGACAGGTGGCGCGTCGTTTCTGGACCCTTGTCCGGACGCCAATGAGTCCAGTCCGTGGAGACCTTTTCGGTGCAGAACAAAATCAGGGGGACCCCGGTGCCCCAAAGGGAAATAGATGGAACAAGGTGATGACAACATATGACAACCCCTCCTGCACATCCACTATACAACTCCTTTGCTTTATTTTGCTTTAAGGTACCCACTCTCCATAGGTGCAAACCAGAAGGACAGACCCCCTACCTCCGACAATTCTCGCATGGCGCAGCCAGGTCAGAAACCGCAGGTTCTCTGAAAGAAGGCCTTTGGCGCCTGGAAGCCTCCCATGTGAAGAAAACCTGTGTTGGCGCGCAGGCGCGCCCTGAGTATGCAATGTGCATCAGTTCATTCGATCCTGTCAGCCAAACAGCCCCTGAAAGGCTGAAAGGTCTAAATTTTTCTTAAAAACTATACCAGGGGTCACAAGACGGGGAGGTGTGGCTCGTCCCATCCAGTGAGTGGATATAATGGGCACCTCCAACCTCCAATAGGCACCCCTTTGTGATTGCTACTAGTAGATATCATGCCGTTCAGTCTGAGCCACTTTCTCTCAAAGCCTGTGACCGACATGCCAATCCAGGATACCCCATCCGCAGCATTACAAGCTTGGAGGTGTCGCGAAAACAGAAGTTGCATAGGTATCCCAGTAGGGCCCTATCAGGTCACTCAACCTCTCTTGGTACCCATGCGAAACGTGTGGTTCTTCTTACCCAGACGCGACCCATGGGACAGCCAGTCCGGACTGCCGATCAAGCCAGGGATGGTTGACTGGGGGTCAATGGAGCGGCATAGATGGCAGTCCCATGGAGTGTATGGGTTAGGACTTGATCTGGTGCAAAAGTTGGCCTCGATCTCCCTGTACCTCCTCCTCCCCCCTCGATCTGCCTCCTGGTGTGCCCGGTGCACCCCACTCTCCGCCGCTCACTCGGGACCCCCGACCTTCCTTTCCATCGCCGACCTGAGTCGTCGCTGCCCGGTTCGCGCGGAAGCCGCAGCCCCGGAACGGGCTCCATGGGACTGCCATCTATGCCTACATTGACCTCCCAAACCACCCCAATTGATCGGCATACTGGCCAGCAAACTGGCCAGCTCCTCAGGAAGTGGCTCAGTCGAGGTGAAAGCGCTTCGAGTGAGTCATGCTGAAAAGGATCGATGTGGAGGTGCCAACTAGGACCAGTGGCGAAGAACCACACCTGTTTGGCGCCCGAAGCAGCTGGTACATCTTTGAGATCCAAAGTTCACTGCACCCGAGGTTTCTCAAGGGAACTTCAGGTTGAAGACTCCCTGCGTCCCTGTTCCGCGGAGAGAACCGGCGCGAGATTCTGGCGGAGAGAGTATTCTTAGAGGTTGAAGTACCGTATAGACTATCCCAGTTCGGTATCCCAGGTGACAGGCCGTAGTTCAGGTCACTCAACCTCTCTTGGTTCGTGGCGATGTTCCGAACCCAGGGACCTTCGTTTTTCGTGAAAACCACCGCTTTGTTTGTCGAGGAACAGTCCGTCATCCTTTCCATGCCATCCCCGTCTTGATGATTCCAGCAGTCGTGTCACCTATATAAGGTTGGCCCGCCCGTTGGCTCACTTAGACCTGCAAGGGCCCACTTAGACCGTGGGGGTTCAGTCATGCTGAGTTGGATTTGAAGTCCATGTCTTCACCAAGGGGCAACACTCGTGCCAAGCGGCATCTTCGTAGAGGCCGATTTCAGCGGTCTTCGCCTGAAGTGGGCTGGGACGAAGCTGGTTGTCAACCGTGGGGAAACCTGCTTGGATGTTGGAGAAGTTTCGTATGCCACCTAGTGACCGGATGTGGAAAACATCGGGAAAGGCAATGAGATTTATGGATTTGTGCTCTCCTGTTCAGTGGATTTGAGGATAGGTTGATGACCAAAATCCAACCAAAAACACATCTATATATAGATCTTTTGGAGGACGGCCGCCCTCCGGTTCGGCGTTCCGGCAAAAACAACCGGATCGGAGCGAAGGGAGAAGAGGATCCGGCCCCACCTTGGGGCAGCGAACGGGGTCAGTGCCAAGTATCGAGCCTACGATAGACGTTTTGATAGCAAAGTCGACCATAGGGTGGTTGATGATCCAAACTAGAGGTCACTCAGCTTGTAGGTATCCACCACGGCCCGGTTCTCCTCTCTGAATCAATCAAACCGATAGGAACGTCACAAGGTCATCAGTCGTGGCTTGGAGAAGATGATCTCACCAAATCTGCACAGATCGGATCTCAGCTGGGGTCCTTTTCCGCTTTTCCTGCAACAAATCAAGTCTTTGGGGGAGGGGAGGGGGACACACTGGGCAAGCCTGCTGGAACAAAACACTCCAAGCTTCGTTGAGGCTCAGTGGTGGTGCGAGTACACCTCGATAACTGTAAAGTGGAAGCCTTAAAGGGCAGGACTGCAGGAGACTTTGTTGTACCAAGTTCCATCAAGTTCCATGGTCAGGTCGAGTTTTCTTCAGTGCATAAACAAAATATTTCAACAACTACGTCGGAAAACTCGTTCACCCTGTGAAATCTGAAAAGGCTGGAGAAAGTAACCAATCCCAATCCCATGGCTTTGTTTTTGTGTGTGTGTTCCTTTCCATCTGCGCCCAGGTCTTCCATCTCGACAGATATTGGTCCGTTCTTCGCAGCTATGAGAATGGCTTCCCGGAAGGATACAATCCCCTCTGCCACCATCTCTCATTGGGGGAGGCCCCGTTCGTCACCCGTTTCAGCCGTCACCCTGCACCGAAGAACGAAGACGGGAGTCGGCCTCGTCATCCTCCTCGGTCAGTTGGAAGGAGACAGGTGGCGTCATAAGGAAGCAACGAATCATCCAGGGGATGAGGAAGCAAAAGTCCTAAATAACTGTCCCAAAAGCATCTAAAAAACCAGAGGGCACACATTCTCTGTCCTGTCTATGCAGTTTTACCCGATCTACTTTCATTTTGCTTATTCTCCATCCCATTCGATCTGCCTATAGGCAACTACTGTTTGTATGAATCTCTTGAAACTGCATGCTTCAGGATGAATGATATGCAGCAACAAGTGTGCAATTCAACAAACGTTCCAGTGGATAAGGGCCACGGGCCTTTCACCCGACCAGTTAATTACAAAATGGAAAACTTGAAACACCAAGACTACCAGGACCCTCCTGTCGGGGTGTCTTTTTATATAGCCCCTTATAGCTGTTAAGGTTTGATTGATCAGCAGTCCACAGTTTGGGAAGCTGACAGGCGCCTGTAAGGAACCAACCAAATCAGTGACCTCACATCTGCAGCTGGCGCTTACTAACATATGATGCCCTTTTCATGCAAAAATCGCGTGGTTTTCCAAGACCAACGACACCCCCCACCGTCTGTGACTCGCGGTACTGCCGCAAACATCGGCTTTCAGATCTCGTGAGGTTCGATCTCCGCATCGACGGCCGCGAGTGTTTCAACACGCGATTCGCGGAAAACGAAGACCTGTCGCACGCAGCGTGTGAACCACCGATACGTTTTATTAGCAGAATCGCGCCCTGCGCAGTTCACAGGGTCGCAACAACACCCGGAAATGGCGAATTAAGAGAAGAAAGGACCCCAGCGGATCTCCTGCGCCCCCCACTGCCCGCCCTGTGCGTGGCCTTGGGCGGCGTGTATCCTCCGATCTGCGTCCCGACAGCTGCCGGGCCGAAC